CACACACGCACATACACACATACACACACACGCACGCACGCACAACCACACACAAACACACACACTCACACACTCACCTTCTGGAAGAACTTGTAGAGCAATGCCTTGCGTTCAATGCTGTTTGTGACATCGAAGAGCCATTTCTCCGAGCCGTCCGCCTCCTCTGTCACGCATGTCTTCAGCATCAATCTGGGAACATCCTCACCAGCGAATCCTGCGCGAGTGTACCGAGATCCAAAGTGCAGCACAAGCACTGGCCGATCCGACAAGGTCACGGTGCTGGACGCGGCGATGGTGGTGGTTGTGTGTCCCGGTGACGACGTTACGCGTGTTGTTGTGACCCTGGTCCTCGAGATGGTCGCATCCTTTCGCTCCAACAACTTCCGCACCACATCCGACGACATGGTTGTGTGTGTGTGTCAGAGGCAGAGGCAGAGGGTGATGTGGGGAAGTCGTCTGCGGAAGCTGCTGCACTCACTGGCTCGCTCGTTGCTTTGCTTCTTTGCTTCTTCTTCTTCGTTGCTGTTTGTGTGGCGGCTCGTATTCGCGATGGTGAATCGTTATCCATGCATGGAATGAATTCAGCAGAAAAACATTAATTTCAGAAACACAAACACAACAACTGCAACCGCTGACACACGACAAAGACAGACAGACACAGCAAGCTGCACAATCGCGCTTTCTTCTCCCATCTCCATCATCCTCGCCCACGGCAGACACAGAGGGACAGGCAGAGCTGCACTCCATCACGTCAAAGGAACATGTCTGACTCCATGATATCATCCAACCTCAAGGCAGCGAGGCAGGCTGTCGAGGCAGGCCACAATGCCACCTTTCGCGGGCGTGCTGGCATCGCCTACGAGATGTTCGACGCGGCAGCAGGTGATGATGATGATGGTGGTTGTGGTGATGTTCTGCCATGCCATGCAGTGTGTGTAATTACTGTGATTATTGTGTTTGTGTGCACGGGTGCGTGGATGGGGTGAGTCTGTGACAGAGGCTTGCATATGGGCGAGTGCTTGCGTGTGCGCGTGTGGTGTGGCTTTGCACTGACATGTCCATACTCTTATGCCCCTCTGCTCTGTTGTTCATTTACAGATGGGTTTGCGAGATGTAGCAAGAACATCAAAGATGAGGGCGTAAGCTTGCACTGCTGTGCTACTCTTCACCTCCCCACCATTTGCTTTGCTGCGTCTTCCAACATAGGAAGCCCTCAATCACATGCGCCTCATTGTCCTCGCACACTGTTTTCTGTTGTCGTTGCCACACGCCTTGCTTGCTTCGTCGTCAGGCAAAGTCCTTCTTCGCAGAGATGGCAGCCTCATACACAGAGCTGGCAGATGTCCAGCGAGCCATCTCGTTGTGCGTTTTCTCTAGTGTATGCGGGAGAAAGAGAGAGTGTGGATGTGCGTATGTGTGTATGTGTGTGTGTGGATGTGTGGATGTGTGGATGTGTGGATGTGTGTATGTGTATGTGCGTATGTGTGTATGTGCGTATGTGTGGATGTGTGTATGTGTATGTGTGTATGTGTGTATGTGTGTGATAAGAAAGTTGTGCTGCTGGTTGGTTGTCCTGTGTGGTCTCACATGCAGATTAGATGCGGTGACGGGTGTGGAACCAGCTTTCACTGCACAATCACCCTTTCACAACCACACTTTGGCAATGAGCCTTCACAACTGCCCTCTCACAACCAGCCTTGCAAGTCAGCCCATGCATTTTCTTTCCACACCTGCTGCTGACACTACGCTCCACCCTGCCCACCTGCGGCCCGCGCCTGTTGTGTGAATGCCGAGTGCAGGTTCGTGGTCGAAGAGTCCAAGTCTGAAGCAGCGAGCCGTGCGTCGCAGGAGAGGAGCAAAGGAGCAATGGATGGCGGGTCGACACCGAAGCAGCCGGACGCCAGCAGTGATTCCCAGCAGCTTGACGAGGCAACCATCCAGCTCAAGCGGTTACAGCGCAAGGTGAAGCTATTGGAGAACCAGAGCAAGCTTCTCTTCAACCAGCAGCTGCTCCTGCTTGGTATTGCCTCAAATCTCGCCAACGGCAAGGAGCAGTACAAGCGAGAGCTCCACGGGCTGCGACAGATGGTCTTCGACATGGTGAGGCTGTGTTTTGTGTGTGTGTGTGTGTGTGTGTGTGTGTGTGTGTGTGTGTGTGTGTGTGTGTGTGTGTGTGTGTGTTGTGGTAGGTAGGT